ACCTCAAAGAGATACTTGAGTAAAAGTCCAGGTATCTTATCAGAAAATTACTATGGTAAAAGTTCAAGTCTCCTCTAAGAATATTACTTGAGTAAAAGTTTAAAATTATCTGATTTTTTAACCCTTTAACTGCCCCACCAAGAAAAACTCTATGAAAACAATATATTATTTTGTATTTCTTATTTCCTCAGGTGAATGATGACAGCAATCAATGTTTTTTTTTACAACATACCCTTATTGACCTCTACCAAACGGTTGAGATGTCAGTTAATGGTTGAAGTACAAATTTGAAAACAAATGGCACAAATATTAGAAAAAATAACAAAAACATGCTCTTTTGCAAATAAAAAGAGCAAAAAAATGTATACAGAGCAATAAAGATATTTTATCTAGTGTGCCACAAAATGTTGCGTCTTTTCATTTTAACAAAGGGAAGTTTGGTATCAAACCAATCTATAAAGATTATTTATTAAAAGTAAAAGTATTGACATAAGTGCTTATTTTCTAATGTGACAATTTATTGGGAGGTGACCTCTCCAAATAACTTTTTTTTTCTAAAGGCCTGCAGCTGTGATAAATTGTGTACAAACTAATACGCTGTCAGAATAATTTACTTACTTCTCATCCAACCACAACTTTTCACTCTATCCAAGAGGCACAATGTATCAGGATAGCAGTTTTTAACAATAACTAGCCATAATGAAATAGGAGAAATGACTTTCTCCTTCTTACCTTTTTAAAAAATGTATGGAGTACAAAGTATAGATAACTGTGTAAAAAAATGCAAAGCGGAAATAAAAAGTAGGCTGAAAAATAAATCACTCGTAAAGTAAAGACAACCAAAATTTCTACTTAACAAAGTATTTGTAGTTACTTTACAACTCTGGAAAATGGAGACATTTATTTGAAAAGGACTTAAATAAGAAGAAAAGAACATAAAATTTGCAAAACAGCAGCTAAAATGAACACAAAGAACTTTTTACTTTTAATGGAATAAACATAAATAAAACAATAAATGTTTTGAGAGACATCTGGGTGAACAAGTTTGCACTTTAATAAAAACCTGGACCTGTTTTAGTCCCTCAGATTGAGGAATGTATGTTGTGGATAATTGACCTTTGAGGACGTACAGAAGGCATTTGTAGCCACGTTTCCTTGTCTGATCCACCTTCTGCTTCCTGCTGACTGTTTCCTTTTATTTCCTTGATGGCACCAACTGTCCGAGTAAACAAACATTATTGTGCTTCAAAGCCACAGATTGGCTGATTGTCAGTGAATCCCACAGGAGACCAGTTCATCAGCTCTATTTTGCATCAAAACTTTCTCACAGGCCAACTGCTGAGCTCAGCATAATATAACATGAACCCGTTTCACCTTTCTCAAGTCTCCACTTGAAATCTCCAAAAACAAAAAAGTGCAATGAGTAAATAAAAACCCTTCTGTTGCGTACTTTGTGATACAAAAGCACGTTTCTTTGTTCCTCCGTCAGTAAATGTTAACCTTTAGGGAAGCAGAGCTGTAACCTCAGTGTTTGTTGGCAAACATCTTTTCAACAGCGAAGTCCGGCCAGTCGCTGCAAGTCAGTTGAATTGTGTGTTTTCAAATGATAGTAAAGGTTGGTATAGATTTATAGAATGATTTGTCAAAGGGCCACTAAACCATTTCATGACAAGAAGCTATGAGGTGTTTTAAAGTGCTGTTAGCTATGGTAGTTTATGGAAGACTTTGGCGCCATCTTGTGGAAGAGTAATATATTACATCCTGAAA